CCTTCTTAACCCCAAGATGTCCTCCTGTTAAACTATCATGGGAGTGATGCAGCACAACTTCCCGTAACTTTCTCTGTATAACTGTTTACCAGGTCGTCACTTTCCCAACTCCAGAGAAGAATACCATCTTCAAACTTCAACTGGTCCCATTGTGCCCATTAGTTCTTTGTCACAGAGATTAAGCTAGACACCCCCTCCCAAACAGGGCGCAAAACACTTGCTTGTAGAAAATCAGTTATTGGCTTCAAATCTTGGTCTTTCTCCTGTTCTGCTTTAATATCTATACTTGGTTCCACTTCACCATCATCAACTCCTTCAGTCACTTTGACTTCAGCTTGATGGCACCTTGTTAGTTCAAACTCTCTTTTGCAACAATGTCTGCAATCATTTTTGCAGGGTCTTCGGCTCAATCCGTCGGCATTTCCATGATATTTTTCACTATCATAATTATACTTGCTAACTTTCCGATCCAATGTGCCAGTTGTCCCTCTGGGTTCTTTAATGATCTTAACCAGCGTTTCTTTTCTTTTTCCTCCAACCACTGCTGTAGTCTCTTTTCTTGTTTATTTTCTCGTTCTTCTTGTTTCTTTTGCTGTTCTTGTATTGCTGCCATCAAATCTGCTAAGTCGTAGTTTGATTTGGTACTTCTCGTTTCCATCTTTTTTTTCTTCTTTTTTTTATCGATCCCACTTTGACACCAATTTGTTACTCTCTGGTCGTTTGTTAATCTCCGGTATAAATTCTTTCCGAGGAACTACAGCGACACAAGTCCTTTCTTAAATAAAACTAGTTTATTCTTTCGCAATACAACTTTGCAATACACAGAATTTCTACAGTCAATAAAATTGATTGTATTAGTCCATAATATGGACAAAGACCTAAAGGGGCAATGCTAAATTTTATTTATAGACGCTAAGTAAACAAATCTAGCATTGTGTAAGTGCGGGATGTGTCATTGGAAAAATTCTATGTGGATTAAATAAAACCTCAGTAACGTAGACACAACATCATTAGCGCGGACCCCCGTGGAGACATTTTGCAGTGTAAACCCGACCAAACTACAATACTGTTACGACAGTGGAAGTCAAGTGACGCTGGTAACATGTGATGAGTTTCTAGAAGGATCATGAAGGCTCAAGTGTTTGCCAGACGCCCTCTATTTTAATATATAACCGGGCAAATAAAGCGGAGATCATAATTGCAGATAGACAGATAAGTCAATCAAGTGAGCGGTAGTTACCGTAAGTAAAGTGCGTGAATCGTTGTGAATAATAGCGTGTTTTTAAATTAAAGAAAATTACACACAAATCGCTCATGTAGGTTTATACGAAGCCCTGCGTTTACGCTACAGTCCATTGCAGTAACAATGTAATATACACAAATATATTTATTTTAGTACGCATAAAATGAACTGTTTTTAAAATAAAATAATATATATATATATATCGGGAAAATTCTGTAATGTCTAGCACTAAGTGGCCGATTTAATAATATTATTTATTTATTTAATGGTGAGAAGTACTTCTGATTTTGTCCATCATTTATAATATTCATCTCTAAATTGCTCATCAGGTCGTTTTTTGTTTTTATTTTTCTTGTTTGAGATTAAGTTTGTAGTACAGGGTAATTTGTAGCCTTTTGTAGAGGCTCTATCTATATGTTAGAAACGTTTACCCATGCTAGGCTTATTTTATGACTGGCCTAATGTATGTTTTAAATATTTTGTGTGTAGTGTCTGGTGAAGCTTCCTAATTATTACCTATCAGACTCGCAAAATACCTCGCTCTAGCCCTCCAGTGGCACAGCGGTATGTCTGCGGACTTACAACGCTAGAAACCGGGTTTCGATACCAGTGGTGGGCAGCGCACAGATAGCCCATTGTGTAGCTTTGTGCTTAATTACAAACAAACAAACAAACCTCGCTCTAAGCCAGATCCGATTTTTCATACTCTTAATATGTTGAATCCACGTTAGTTTTGAATTGTAAATGAATTCTAAGAGTTATGCAAATGTGGCGATTAGTTATCTCGCTTGTTGCATGGACGCCGCCAAAGGGCGACACACGTGTGTCGACTCCAGACAATAGAGATAGGATAGGGAGGAGTAGAGACGATGATGTCATAGTGTCACACACCAAAGACGATAACATCATGGTTCCACAAAGTGCAACCAGAAGGCACATTGCTAAGGCACCATGGCAGGCAGATGTTGTCATGATAACAAAGTTATCCAGATAGTTTGTTACTAGAGCCACTAA